TTTCTCAAAGCGTTTTGTTTGGTTTGGAACCAAAAAAGCAAAAACAAAACCAATAATCCTACAATCCATCCAATATGTTGGCAGAAGTCTGGTGGTTGTGAAAATCGTGGATTCTTGGTTTTTGTTTTTTTCAAGTGAGCCTTGCGTGTTTTGTGAAAAAAGGCACCAAAAATCGAGGATTTCTTGAGTTTTGCTGCAAAACCCTAAAATGCCATGGGAACTCTCTTGGTGTTTCACTTGGGGATCTCCCTGAAAGTTTTGTTTGATCCTTGTTTGTCTTGAGGCTTTCCTGGTTTTCTGGAAACAACCTGGGCATTCTTCATTGCTTTTTTTGCGGAAACCCTCAAACAACACCAATGTGTCTTGGTTGTTCAATGGTTGACGGTGTTGTTGTTTCTGCTCGAAAACAAGCAGGAAAAACACACATGTGTTGCACTCGTTCTTTGTTTTTGCGTGGTTGTCAGGGACTTTTTGACAGAGAAAGGTGGCTCACGCAGGGATTTGTGACAATATATATATATATATATATTTATAGAACCTCGAGATTTAAATTCTCGAAATTTCCAAGTGTGGGTCCCCAAAGCCGCATCATTAGGAGCCAGGGTCCAAGGGGGGGGGGGCATATATACAATGCATATATACTGTATCTATCTATATGTTTGTATGTATACACCTATGTATATATATATATCATACAAATTCGTAGCATATGTTATTTATAAGGCGTAGACCTCGTGATATTCCTCCTTTCTCACATCCCACTTCTTCGGACTTTGTTGAGGCTTGGGCAGGGGTTGGACTGCGCCAGGAAAGACCTGAGGTTCGCCAGGTGCAAGTGCCAGCTGCGCAAATGGCCCCAGAGGTACAGCCAGAAGACCGGACTCGTCTGGTGGCACCCGTTGTACCTCCCGGGAAAAAAACATATAAATATGTATATGGTACCCCCCCAAAAAACAAACTAAAAACTGTTTGCAGAATGAATGGTGGGTTTTGGGAAGGGGGTAGCACATATATATATATATATATGTATCTATTTATTTATTTAGTTATTTTTATTTATCTATTTATTCATTTATATTTGTGTGTATATACCCTCCCGCCGATTTATGTGGAAGTGCACAAAGCCCCGTAGAAAGACGACTTTCCTGTTGGAAAGCGGGGTTGTGCACTTCCATGTTAGTTGGTGGGAGGGTATATGTGTCTCCAATGGGTCGTCAAAGTATGTGTGTATTTTACCCCGGGTGTCCAAATACAAAGACCCATGAATGGATATTCCAGGTGGTTTGACTGAAAGTACCTTCCGAAGATCGTACTCAGGTTCCCATTACCCCAAGGTAGACTTAAACCCAGGGCTAGTTGATTTCCCCAAAAGTTTGTTTCTTCTTTGTTTTAAAAACGGTTTAAGGCTACCTTGGGGCCGCCAGACAATGGAATCCTGTCTCTAATGGGTATGTGTCAAAATACAGAGACCCCCCCATGGATGGTTTGAAGCTGGTTTCCTATATTCAGCCACATGCGTGTAACCAATCAAGCGATTCAGTCGAGTGCGCTCGCGTTTCTCGTTGGAATTCGAATAGTGCTTTGAGCCCCTACCAAGAAAATTGTCAGCTCAGATTTGGGTCTGTCTTTTTTGATGGGATCCCCCAACATCGCCTCGGTTGGCCTGCTGGTTTCCCTTTAATCCACCAAAACATGGGTACCCGAAATGCTCAGACCTGTGTCGCACTTCGGCTTCGGTCGCCTGGCGGCAGAGGCATGCGTCACCTTTGGCCACGAGGGCTCTTGCAGTGCTTGCATGTGCTGCGCGAAGGGGTTCTGCGTGTAGTGGAAGCGGCCCCTGGCCTGCAAAACGAAACAAAAATCCGCTGGCGCTTGGAGAAGGCACTTGTGGAGACGCACCGGACAAAATTCCGTGGATGGTTGAAATGGAAATCCGCTTCTCGCACGCAATGAAGGCATGGTTGAACACGTAACGTTTGTTGGTATTTACCTTGGGGAATCGAACCAAAAACCAGGGTTTCTGAACGGTGGAACCAGAAGCCAGGGTTTCTGAACGGTGGTGCAGGATTTCGATGCTCCACATGCGCATAATTGTCATGTGATGCAAGCTGAAACCTGCTTACTTACAACCCGTCAAGCTTTGAATTGAGTTTGCCTGTACATTGCCATGGGTGCCCCAAAAAGCTCCTCTACCGCCACCCCGAAAACAGGGCCCCAACACGGGCACCGCAGTTTGACTTGGCAGGCCTCCGAGCGCGCGACCTCCGCAAGCTCCGGAAGCGCATCGGGTCTGGACGCAGCGGGCTCCGATCGGGATCGGGCCTGAGCGGCGCCAGCTCATCGACCCGCTGTTGGGACTGGCTCAAACTGGGGGGAACCCCTTAAAGGGGTCAAGTTTGATCTCAAACTCATCTCAAAAAGGGGTCCTTTTAAACTTGACCCCTTCAAACTCATCTCAAAAAGGGTGTCCCTTAGCTTGTTTTTTTTTCAAGCTCATCTTAAAAAAGGGTGCCTCGCAAGAAGGAACACCCAAGTGTCCACCTAAAGGGACACTTCGGCATTGCGACATCGGCAACCACTGCAGCATCAAGCCAGCATCTGACGACTTACACTCCTACAGCACCCTATGCTTCCATGTGAGGCAAACGCTTCCGTCTGCAAGACTAAGATGTTCAAAACGGACGCTCAGCCAGTCCATTTTGAAAGCTCATTGGGAAATCGCGCAGGGTTGCAGCTTTGAGCCCAGAAATGCGACGAACAATTCCACCTCGCCCGTTTTGGAAACGACACCCGTGTGCCCATTCGGCCCATTCCCGACTTGCGACCTGATAGCTTTCCATCGAGCCGACTTCAGCCTCCTCCAGCAAGATCTGCGGCGGCTCAGGTGGGATGCCGAAGAGCAGCCCAAGGCGTGGCCACATCCGAAGATGTCGGCAGTCAGATTCGGGGGGTGAATAGGTGGAACCCCCCCGCTTCTTTCGGATAAAATAGGCTGAACTGGCAAAACCCTCTCATTTAGATGGGTTGAACCCCTGCGAGTTTGGATAAGATAGGTTGAACTGGTTGAACCCTTTCATTTTTGGATTGAGATAAGAGCAATCCACACAGGCAGTCCCGGTGTTTCTCAATCGTGCAAAGAGAGTCTGCACAAAATTCCTCAGTTGACAATCCGGCCAGAAAATGTGACTCAACTTTTGGGCCGGCTAAACCGCCCTGGATTGGATGAAAGGTACACTTTGGAGAGATACTTTCTCTGAAGCCTCACAGGGGCAGAATAAGGATTCTTGCAACCAATCCAAGCATAAGTCACTTGTAAGCTCATTGTGATCTCCCGAAGCAATCGCAAGGAAGTTGCTCCCGTTCGAATAAAGGAACCCCCGATATGTTGAATCAATACATCGGGCCAAAATCCCCCCTGATGTTTAGGAACAGGAAACCCTGCCGGCGAAACCCTGACATGTGCGGGTGCTATTCATGTCGGTTCCCGTGTTCCGGGCTTCGGCGTGGTTCCCGGAGCCCCGAGGCCAAACTGGCCGCTCGAGCCAAAGCTGAAGCCATAGTGCAGGAAGTGGACAACTTCCCCCCAGAAGAAAAAAATGAACCACCAGGATATGGAACAAACAAAAACCGGGATATGGAAACCACCAGGATATGCAAGTATGGGTCAAAATTAAACCACCAGGACACGGATCGCAGATGTTACTCCTTCCTGGAGCCTCCATTGCTACCTTAATTTTTGCTACGAAATATTTTTGCTCGTGACACGTTCTTCTCAAAACAACACTCGTTTTAACAGAAAGTGCTCGAGACATCCGCGCAAATGCAATTTGCTACCTTTTGAATTTGCGCTCGTTTGCGCTTTTCTGCGCCGATTTGCGCTCGTTTTGCACTTTTTTTGCACATTTTTGCGCGCGTTTTGGCGGCAACTTGACCATGGGGAAGAAGAAAACACGGCCGAATGGGATTTCTGCCCGAATCGTCAAAAAGCGCTCGGAAGCGAATGGGAGGCAAAAAGTGCTACGTCGAGTCAGTTTTGGTATCGAGCAAGGGGGGAGGCAGAAAATTATGCTACGATGGAGGTTCCAGGTTGTTTCCATGTTCCAGGGGTTCCATTTTGGGTACCTATTTCAGAGCCACACCCAAATCACGTCTCTGGCAAATTCAAATGGAAAAAAACGGGTTTGCAAGCAAGCCAAAAAGGGTCAAAGAGGCATGTGATAAATTAGCTAGCTAAACATGAGCAGAACGACTAAACACATACACTATATGCCAAGAAAAGGAGCTCCAACTACTTTCCCGACTTTCGAGCATCGCCCCACCAAGATGAACCTGACGTATATGTGGCAAGACAAAAGTGATGTTTAAACTGGATTCAAAGCAACATGTTACCCCGTATCTCGGCAGAGAATCCCCCCCCTGCCCGAGCTTGTGCAAAACACAGCATTGTCTTCCCGGGTCTCCCGCATGGAATCGCCCAACAAGCTGTTCTCTACTTCCCCCCAAACCGAACCCTGAAGGGAACTGATCTATATACCTTCTAGACCATCTTTCTGGTCCGGGAGCAATCAGACACTGGACTAGACTTAGACCGAACCAAGCCTTTAACTTTTGCTGGTTGAAAGGACAAACAAAATGGAACCAAGCCAACAGGTTGTGGGTCAAAATTAAACCACCGGGCAGGGGACTGCATTACGGATTGCGCAACCTACCCCTTTCCGACCCACAGCCAACAGTCTTTAAGTGCTGCCGGTTGACAAGACAAAGCAGTGCCTTCTGTAGTGGACCCACCCCAAAATGGTGGTTGTCCTTTGTGGCTTCCCGCTAGAACACCACCAAAAAAAAAGGGTACCCAACCAAAAAAGGAACCACGATAACCTGCCGAAACCACCCAAAACACGGGTACCCAACCAAAGAAAAGGAGCGCCACGCCGTTGGAGTTGGCGTGAGAGACATCTGGCCAGTTACCTTGGCATCCAGCTCGCGGCTCGCTCGAGTCTGGCCTTCGCAACTGCGGCATGAAGACCTTGAGCGTCTGTGCCAGCACGCGCTCGGTGAGACACCGCGCTTTCTCCTTGCCAAAGGACAAAGCAAGACACAAATACCTTGAAGGAGGGCTTGTTTGTTGTTCTTGCTTGCTTGTTTTATCCCCTCTCTTTTCTTTTTCTGTTTTTCTTTTTTTTTTTTTGGGGGGGGGGGTGCGGGGAGGTCTGAGTTTCATCCGAACGCATTTGGTTCCGCCTCTTTCAGCGGCACTTCATACCCACCTTTCCGGTGTCCCAGGGTTCCGATTTGCCTTCCGGGTGGGACTTGCACGGCAACCAGAGGGAACATGGTCGCTCTCTTGTCCCGTAGCCCTCCGGCAAACTGATCTGGGGTCTTTTTGGGGGTCTTTTACTGAGGGTCCCACACACATCATCATGGAACCAAAAGGATGGGACTCGGGGCCGATTCCCAAAAGGAGATGTCTCTACAAATGGGCGGCTTCTTCTGGGGTGTCCATGTTCATGAATCTGTAGTGAAGCTTTCTTTTTTGGCAAGAAATAAAACAGAGGCACAACAACCACCTAAGGTGCGTTTAACCACCCAAAGTGGGTTTAACTACCCAAAGTGGGTTTAACCACCCAGGTGGGTTCAACCACCCCAGGCGGGTGCTTCCTAGGCCCAGCTGCCTTTCGCCTCGTCGGTTTCTCCGCGCCTCTCCGAAGCTGCCCAGGTGCTTCTGCTCCGGGGAGAAGACCGCGCCCGGGCGGGAGCCCGCCTGGCTTCGGCGATTCGTTTGGGTGTCGCGCGCTCGGAGAGAAACACTTTTTTGGGGGGGGGCCTGGTTGGTTGGTTGGTTGGTTGGTTGGTTGGTTGGTTGGTTGGTTGGCTGGCTGGCTGGCTGGCTTTCTGAGTCAGAATCAAACCGGCATTGACCTTTTCTTGGACGACATCCATTTCGCGCCGCTTCCAAACCATGGTTGCAACCTTTGTTTGTTGATATTTGTGAGTAATTATGAGTAGGTGGGGCAGCAGTTCGTCCATCCGCTACCCAAGATATGAGGGCTTTGGACCCTCAAAGACCCTGGAAATGATGAGGTGTTGGGGCCCTAGGCCCGCATGGTCTACCCAAAACTCATGCCAAAAAGGATTTTCAGAACAGCAGATATCCGCACCCATGTTTGGGATCGCCCACCTGACCGCATTTTGATGGCTCAGGGTGTGTTTTCTGGGAAGCCTTTCTTGGGATGTGTCAAAGCAGCTCATGTGGAAACATCTTTGTTGCTTTATTTTGTTTTGGGGGGGGGCCTATCTGGAGACGACTTGCCCAAAAATGAGTTGGACACCGGCAAAAGGTTCCAGTGCGTGGAAATCCAATTCTTTGACAAGGCTCCTGAAATCTGACTTCCGCTGCAAGGACAACGTGCGAAAAGGAGAACGTTCGCCCTATGGACGGAAGCCCCTGGGAAGCTTGATGTGTTTGCTATTTTTTTCTCCCATTTGAACCAGGGTTCAACGTATTTTGACACATCCCCCGCATGTGATCAGAAGCCTAACAAAGGGGGGCCTTGCCCCCCGTTCAACCATAAATGGAATCTTAATGGGAGCGGTTGCTGGGGATATGTCCACATTCCTTCCAAGAAAAGTGTGTGGTTGGAAGGCCTCAGGTGGGAAGTCAGCTCCGATGGAATTCCTGCGTGGCTTTGAAAACGGAGCGGTGCTTTTCTTTTGGCAACTTCTGTTCAAACAACCGGACCCTTCCAAAAGGAGGGTGTTTCAACTATAGGGGTACCCTGCAACTGCCCCAAAAGAGGGGATGAACCCTTAAGGAACGCCAGCTCCGAAGCTCATCAGCTCTGCGAAAGCCTCCAGCAACTTGTCCGCGCACTCTTGCAGCGCCGTTGAGACCGCGTCCGCCTAGCGATGGGGTGCCAAAAATGATCTGCCGGCCCGGAAACTTCCTCGCTCACTCGGTTGCGATCGCAACCGTTTTGTGGTAGAATAGACAACCAAATTCCTGCTCATTGGCTCATCCAAAACCAGCCAAAGAACTACATGCGCTCTCATTGATCGTGGCACCGAGATGCACCGAGTGTCTCATTCCTCAATGCTTCATGTTTGTACCAATATCGAGGCAAATTGCTCGCATACAAGCAAGCGTTGGCATGCTACCTCCACTGTGAACCAGCGAAGAATGCTCGTGGAGTGTCCGTAAGAAGAAGCTTTTCCAGGCCGGGAAACTCTTTGCCGGGAGCAATCTTGCTGCGCAGTCGCTGATAGCGTAGCAGCAGGATTTCCAGGCAAGGCGAGGCTCAAACGGGGTCAAAATGTGCTCCGATTCCAAAATACATGTTTGCATCCCACCGCGTTCTGTGCCGCGAATTCTACCCTACTTTCCTTCATCCCTTTGACCTGTCAAGAAGCCGAAGCCATACACATAAGAAACAAAACACACACACACACAAACACAAACACAAAAACACACAAACACACAAACACACAAACACACAAACACACAAACACACAAACACACAAACACACAAACACACAAACACACAAACACACAAACACACAAACACACAAACACACAAAAACACACAAACACACAAACACACAAACACACAAACACACAAACACACAAACACACAAACACACAAACACACAAACACACAAACACACAAACACACAAACACACAAACACACAAACACACAAACACACAAACACACAAACACACAAACACACAAACACACAAACACACAAACACACAAACACACAAACACACAAACACACAAACACACAAACACACAAACACACAAACACACAAACACACAAACACACAAACACACAAACACACAAACACACAAACACACAAACACACAAACACACAAACACACAAACACACAAACACACAAACACACAAACACACAAACACACAAACACACAAACACACAAACACACAAACACACAAACACACAAACACACAAACACACAAACACACAAACACACAAACACACAAACACACAAACACACAAACACACAAACACACACACACACACACACACACACACACACACACACACACACACACACACACACACACACACACACACACACACACACACACACACACACACACACTTGTGAAATCCCCCCTCTCTCGGTCCTTGTTGTGTCTCATTTCTTCTGCGAGGGTCAGGATCAAGCCCAGTGGGCACACATGCACTTTAATTGATTGAGTGGAGTTTCGTCATCCTTGGGCCCTACTCGTCAGGGCCACAGACTAGACCCAAGGATGGCTGTGGCCTACTCCACATACTTGGAAAAGAAATGGAGAGTCCGGATAGCCGGCACCACCTCGACAATTTGCAAAGACTCCCAGCTTGCGAGTCTGACAAAGAACTCAGATCAGCCCTTGGCAACAGGGATGGACACACACAATCAGCCACGCGGCACTTCTTTCGCCATGGACATTGCAGCCTGCGCAGAACCCAAATCCCACCGCTGGGCCCCAGCCGGGTGTGTAAAACGCCCGCGGGCCAAACTAAAATGAACAAGACGTGAAAAGGCTCCAAACCCTGTGGCCTGTACAGAGCCAGACGCGCCGCAGTCATAATCGTTGCAAAAGGGCCAAAGGGATCTTGCGCAAAGCGAGGAAAAAGAAAAAGAACAAGAAAACAACAAAAAGAACGAACAGATCCGAGATGCTCCACTAACGCCGGGGCCCCGGCCGGGTATTTGAACCACCCGCGGGCCAGAAAAAACCGACGGTTTGCTGCAGGTCTAAATGGCAAATTGCAACGACGGCCTAGACAGCAGCGAAAAAATACATCGGGGGGATTACGGCATCTCAGACCCAATGGGCATGCTGGTTTCTGAGGCGATAGACATCGCTGGCAGTCTCCGTCGTGCTTCACAGCACCAACCATAAAATGGCAACTGAGTGGGAAGACTCCCAAAGCTTGGCGGAACAAAGGCAAGTTCCAAACAAACCTGGGGACCTCAAGGGTCAAATCTGACATCTGAGGGTCAACTGAATGACCAATGCTGCGCGCGAGCCGATGGCAAGGCTCAATCAAACACAGTAGGCTATCCTACCGCAGGCAGCCCGTTAAACGAACTACTGCCTGGATCACACTTGTGAAATCCCCCCTCTCTCGGTCCTTGTTGTGTCTCATTTCTTCTGCGAGGGTCAGGATCAAGCCCAGTGGGCACACATGCACTTTAATTGATTGAGTGGAGTTTCGTCATCCTTGGGCCCTACTCGTCAGGGCCACAGACTAGACCCAAGGATGGCTGTGGCCTACTCCACATACTTGGAAAAGAAATGGAGAGTCCGGATAGCCGGCACCACCTCGACAATTTGCAAAGACTCCCAGCTTGCGAGTCTGACAAAGAACTCAGATCAGCCCTTGGCAACAGGGATGGACACACACACACACACACACACACACACACACACACACACACACACACACACACACACACACACACACACACACACACACACACACACACACACACACACACACACACACACACACACACACACACACACACACACACACACACACACACACACACACACACACACACACACACACACACACACACACACACACACACACACACACACACACACACACACACACACACACACACACACACACACACACACACACACACACACACACACACACACACACACACACACACACACACACACACACACACACACACACACACACACACTACAGCAGCATGAGAGTGCATCAATACGTTTCCATTTGCATATGTTATAGCCACGGGTGAAGAGTTCACTCTTCCGAGCCCAGCGCCACTTTAGCGCCCGGCTCCGCCAGCCGTCCACCCGTCCGCCCAGAACCGTCCACCCCCCAGCCCGGCCGTGGCGGTGCAGGTGAGCGCCAGGCGGTCGCAGGCAGCGTGGAGCATCTTGCACCACTCCGGCTCCCACTTGCCTCTCACCGACAAGCGAAAAGCGAAAAGCGAAAGCCTCTTGGCGAAAAGCTTCGGGAGAATGGGGTCGGTCTTTCCCAGATGCCCCTTGATGTGGTGAAAAACTTCCGGCAAAATGGGGGTCGGCTTTTTTGAAGACCTCGACATCCTGTTTGTTGGCTTTTTGAAGAGAAACCACCAATCCGGCAGAGAAAAAAGGGGGGACAGCTTGTTTGTTCATTTTTTCAGCTTTCTAACGAAGGGAAACAACTTGGTTCAGCTTGTTTTCAGCTCGTTAGCAAGGAAAAAAAACACGGGCTCCGCAGAGAGCTGTTTTCGAGAAAAAAAAAAGTCGGGGGGGACCTTGGCTCTCTGGGGTCCCGCCTGGCAGGCCCTGGAGCTTCTGTAGCAGCGCATAGCCCTGCCGACCGGACGTTTTCCCCTTGCAACTTGGAGAGGGGGAGGGGGTGCTCGCGGCCTCAAATTGCGCTCTCAAGGCTGGGACCGGCGGAACCCCCCAGTTGCTTTAAACGCTTGTTTGTCCTTCCTAAGGCTCCTTCCCCGAACAAAAACACCGGTTCCGCTTTGGTGTCCCTGTAGGTTTTGTAGAGTTGGTTTTATAGAGTTGGTACCCTAGCGACACGCCAAAGGGAGGTTTTCCCAACTTGACAACGGCTGGGTTCCTGTTGAATGCTTCAAGTGCTATGGGAACAATTGGGGTGTGCAAACATTGCCTTGCCTCTTTTGGAAAAAGCAAATGGAAGCTAATCAAAAGCTATAGCATTGAAATGGTCTACCTAAACCAATGTAAAGAGCAAAGGCGGCCACACCTAATTCTTCCTAATTCTGGTTGGGACTGTCCCTTACTAACCTTCGCTTACCCGGGTTTTGATTACGGCTCATTTGGAAACGCCCTAAAGGCCCAATTCCTATGCCAAGTCTTTATCTCAACTCTCCACGCAAAGGGTCCGCGTAGATGGCGGTGCTGTTTGCCCTCGCCCGTCAAGCCCTCTCTTCGTTCGCCATCTCCCATTCCTTCCTGCTGCATGGAGGGGTCGTGACGCGAGAGCATGAGGTCTTCTAAGATGAGGAAGATGAATGTCAGCAAATCGTCGCCTCAATTCCGCCAAATGGGCCATTGTTTGGCGTGTTTTAAAGGGAACCAAAAGGACAACAACCATTTTTGGGGGTCCCCTCACCACAAGCCAGCATGTCGACAAAATTCAAGCGTCCCATGACCCCATATTGCTAACACGTGTATAGGAACAACATCTGCGTCCCATGATTACAGCAATGGGACGAAGAATGCGCTGTGCGCCTCGCTTGTGCCTCTCAGCAACGTCACTACTGTTATCAGCAAAGGTGGAACTTTAGCTTCCCGGCCACTCTTGGCACCTTGGCCTCCAACATGCGGTTAATTCCCGGGCTCGCCACTAGGACACACCACACGCGGTGAGAATCGCTGATTTACCCTTGGTTCCCTGGCGTTACGCAGGTTTTAGTCTTTGGTTCCCTTTACCCAGGTGCCATTTTGTGAAAACAAATTGAGCCACATCCACATGTTTCGGGACTCCGATGGCAGAACGCCCGTCTAAGCCTCCCCCTTTGCTCCATGCTGCGCTGCATATCACCGACATTGCTGCGCTCCGCCAACATCCTGGCGAGTGCAGCTCGGGAAGCCAAGGCATGTCTATCTTGATTCTTTTCACTACCATCGTGCAAGGGGTTGCAGGAAAAAGAAGGGAGGGGTTGCAACAAAGAGTACCCCATACCTGGAAAGGCACACTTACAATCTTCAACCCTCATTGACCTGTCTTAACTTCCATCAACCTCGACCTGCGTTGACCTCAGGCTCTCAACAAAAATAAAATGAAAGAAAACAAAAAACGAAACCGTCTGGCAGCTCCTCAGCTGTTCCTCCATGGCCACATCCAGCATGAGCACGTCCCGCTTCCAGGTCAGGGACTCCAGCCGCCTGAACCACACCGGAGCTCGAGGCCCGTCGGAAGCCATAGGCTTGGAACCGGGGTTTGGCCCGAAGGTTCCCTCAGCTCTGAAGGCTTAACTCTCATATGTTGCAGGGATCCGGATGCACTATACACCTGAACATTGCCTTGTCAATGGTTTCCCCCTATTTGGGTGGAAAGAGCCATGTTTCAAATGGGCAGAATGTATCCTTCAACGAGCCCTGAATTATTGCTTTGTGGTTTGGTCTGGGAATTTTGTTTTTTTTGGGAATGTCATATGGCTGGAATGCCAAAAATAGGTACCCAGAATGGCTTGCCCAATCGAACCAAGGACCAAGACCTGCAGTCCTGGTGGGTTAATTTTGACCCATACCCATATTGCTTTGTGAAGCTTGGTCTGGGATTTTTTGGTTTTTCTGAGAATGTCATATGGCTGGAATGCAAAAAATAGGTACCCAGAATGGCTTGCCCAATCGAACCAAGGACCAAGACCTGCAGTCCTGGTGGGTTAATTTTGACCCATACCCATATTGCTGTGTGGTTTGGTCTGGAATTTTTTGGCTTTTCTAAGAATGTCATAATATGGCTGTGGGAATGCCAAAAATAGGTACCCAGAATGGCTTGCCCAATCGAACCCAGGACCAAGAGCTGCAGTCCTGGTGGATTAATTTTTGACCCATACCCATATTGCTGTCTGGTTTGGTCTGGGGTTAGCGCCGATTTTTTGGGTTCTGGGAAGAAAGTGCCTACTTACTTCTCTGGTGTGCGAACAATGGGGGTTGACCCAACATGGTTTTCTTGCGGGTTGGGGGCGGGAGCATGTTGCACTGCGCAGCCTCTCCCTTTGCCCTTGGTGCCAGCTGTGAACGAATTTTGTCTTCTGCCGTCTCAAAATATCGACCGCGGGTCACAGTGATGGCTCCGTTCACCAACAATCGATTGTTGTACTGTCCTCTTTTGACGGGACCCCCAAACTTCGGTTTTGCTTCTGGTTTCATGGAAAAACACACCCAACAAATGTGCCAAAACTCAAAAAACGACACACCAAAATCGTCCACCCTGGGCCCAAAAGAAGTTTCCCTGCGCAAGAGATTTGCTTCCCAAGTGCACCTTCTGAGGTCCAAAATCTTGCCGAGGGAGAACGGGTCATCGCGGCTGTGGAAAATGGTGAAGGCCAAGCCTAGTCTGCTAGTCTGCGAGCTTCCGACATTTGGGTGGCTCGTCCTTTTTTTGGAGTTGGTGCCCCCGTCTGTCTGGTTTTTTTAAATCGGAAACCAAAAGGTAAACCACCAGTTGGTGAGCCCTCTAAAAAGGTCACAGGCTGCTAAAAAACCCGGAGGCGAAAGCTGTGTCACGCGTGTTTTCCCCTGGCTTTTCTACAATTTGTCATCTCTGGCCGGCGCTTGGCTGTGAACGGGAGAATTAGGACAGCGTTGGCTTTATGCATAAATGGTCCAAAACCCAATGTTGTCTGCATAATTACAGTTCAATTCCTCGAAAATCTGAATCAACACCTACAGCCTACGCAGGGCAGAACTCCTCCTCAATGGGAAGCTGATACCTCCAAACGAAGCTATGCATGTAGCAAAACACATATTAGAGTGAAGCTGAATTGGTATATTATGGTCTTGCACCATTGCCAGCATCTGTCTACACATTGAGTCCCAAGCGGTCGTTTGCGTGCCCCCCTCGTCACAGCGACTCTTCTAACCAATTCATGTTTGCTGGGATGGACATGGTGGCTCTCCAGACACTTTCTGCCAGCGTTTGCAACCAACATTGGCCATGCATCAACCTGTGTGCACTGACAATGTGTGTTCGTGCAAGCCTTTCATAACGACGCTAACATGGCCCCCCCCCCACCCCCCACCTTCCCCACCCCCCACCCCCCCTGCTCACAAACAGCAAGAAAAGCACCACAAGTACCAGGTTTTTGACCAGCCTGTTTCCTCTAAAAAGAGACACGCCCGTTTGGAAACCTATAGGGTGTGATTGACAAATGGAGGGTGCTTGCTTTCTGTAAGCTTGCTGATTGAATCGGTAGGCTCTTCTGACAGAAATTGCAATTCAAAAGGTTTACGCTGAGCAAAACGCTGAGGGTGTCTTGATCGCACCTGCCATTGGCATATACAGAAGCTGTCAGATTTGTGGACTGCAAGCCATGCATTGGACTGGCGATCGCCTCCCACGCCTCGGGCACCGCAAGATCTAGGGGTCCGGCACTCCGACTCATGATCCGGGTACTGCCCTTGCGAGCGGCCGTGCAAGTCGGGACTCGGTTTAAGCGAAGGTCTCAAAGACACTGATGCTGGTCAATATCCAGCCATGTCCCCGGTACAATCCTCCTAAAAAAAGGGCTCCCACCCCCTTTTTGAGTCATATCCCGACACCTAAGTAGTCGATCCCCGATCCATCGATTGTCCCCCTCCACACCTGTGAGGTCATTGCCTTGAAACAAAGGTTCGTGCATGAATCGTGTTGAATTGAACAAAGGGAATGAACGAAAGCATCACTGACATCGTTTGACAAGTCTTGTAGGTGTGAAACATGGGCTTTCCGCACCGAAATCCCTTTAGACCACAAACCAATTTGCTCTACCAGTGATTCGCCCAATACGATTCTAGAATGGCTCCAGCTCCAGTTTTCATCGTTCGTAGGGGGCCGAAAAATCGGGGACCGACCGTAGAATCGCAGGAGTTCCCATCCATTTTGCTTGCAATGGGCCGAACATGTTCTCTGAGTAAACCATAGAATGACTCGAAGTCTGGCCCTGTTGCTTGTAGTATTGGGCCGAACATCGATCCACTCAAACCATAAAACCTTTTGGCGACAGTCGATGGCGCCTTTGCAAGCCTCACAGAGAGCGAAGAGGTCGGTGCCACCATGCACATGTCTCAGCAGGCCTCCGCATGTTTGACAAAACCAGTCTTGGAAAAGGCATGCGGCATGGGTATCAAGCAAGCCAAAAAGAACAACATTTGGGTGTGTCGTATTTTCGGGCACCCCCCAAATGTTGGGGTTTCTTGGTGTCGCTTTCGTTATTCAACCGAAGAGAAACAAAGGCGTACCATAGGTCCAGGCCATTTGGAAGAGAGCCTTTTGACCCGTCCAACAAGTTCCATTTAGAGCTCGAGAGGCAAAAACCCCACACCACATATACGCCCCACGGGTCTGAGTACCAACACAACTTGGGGGGGTTCTCAAATTGGGGTACTTCTTTTTGGACGCGTTTTCAAGGGAATTCCGAAAGGAAACCTGGAAGGGGTCCGAATCCAATTTTGAGCAACATCCCAGTTTCCACCTTTTGGCCCCCCATGCGCTCGGAATCCAAGTGGCCCAAGAAGCCCTTCACGTCGTTGTACATGTGGGGCAGATGCACCTCGAGGCTCGAGTGGGCCCTCCTTTGGCCCCTCTGGGGTTTATGAAAAGAGGAAAGCCGAAAGGAAGCCAACCACTTTAAATGGCTATGGGTCAAAAATGCGTACCGGCGTACCCAAAATGGAACCCTGGTAAATGGAACCAAAGACTAAAACCTGCGGTCCCCTGGTGGTTGCATTTTGACCCATACCCGAATCGGATCTTTGAGACACACCGACACCTGTGCTGCGGATCACGAGAGTTCGCAGATGCTCGGCATCTAAGCAGCTGATGAAGAAAAATTGTTCGAGCGCAGGCGAAGAGCTGGGTGGAATTCACTGGAGTACTCAATGGGGCCTTGCACCCGGCTGTGCAAGAGGCAGTCAAGTTGAGTGATGTTCAGGACCAGTGTGCTTCGGCTGGTGTCCGTCTCAAGTGACACCAACACTAGTACTTGAACCCATGAATCCCTTGTTGCAAAACCATTCAACCACGTGTCGACCTTTCACATGTCTGTCACTTTCTCCACTCCGTGTTGATTCTGTTTCCTCGTCCATCTCCGTCAAGGACCTGGAATGCAACGTGTCTGGGCTGCCGGCGGGAGTGAAGTTCAAGCCACGTCCGCCGCTCTTGGTGTGGTCCTTGAATCCCATCTGACCTCGCAGTGGTCAAAATGTATGATGTTCTCAGAGGCGTGCTGGCTATAACTTGCCCAAACTCATAGGAACATGTACGGAACCCGTCCTCAAACAAAGCCATGAAACAAGTGGATGGTGCGGAAAAGCCAACCGCCTGACTCGCTTTGGCACTTCAGGGCGGACAAAAACGGGAGCTCGGCATGGCCACCTCTTCTCAAATATTGGTGGCTATTCCCTTTTTGGAGTTGGTACCCCTTATTCGCTGGCTTCAAAAAGGGACAGCAAGAGGACAACAGCCTTTTTCCGTTCGTTTCTTTTTGGGGGGGGGTCCCCTAAAAAAGAGACAAAACAGACTAACATGAGTACGAGCTTGAAATGACAGACCCCTTGGACACATTAGAGGGCTTGAAGTATCCACCAATGTTAAAGGATGGCTCCCTATCCTGAGATCCATTCACTGACCCTTTTCCATGGAAGCTACCCCCGAAAAACCGAGCCATCAGGATGGCCATCGGGCATGCCCCATCGCCCCCAAGAAACAGAACTGAGAATGGCCAGGGCCCAGCCAAAAAATCTTCGCCAGGCGGCACATCTTCCCCAGGTCCTCGTGCGTGAGCTTCCCCACCTCCCACATGACCCGCCACATGTCATCCACGTTCCCCGACTGCAAGAAGGCGAGATAGCCTCGAGCTCGCGAAGCGGAAGCCGCAAGTGCTCGCTTCGACTCAGGGACTCTACACACTCCCCCAAAAACCTCCCAATGCTCAAGGACCAGGGGCTGGGGCGCATGAGGGTTTAATAAGGCTCATCAAACAGTGTGCCTGAACGGGCGAACGCTTGGGGAGAGTCTGGCGTCTTGAACTGGTTTCTACGGTCCCTAGATGCCCTCCTTCAAATCACAAGTCTTCAATTCTTACCACACGCATCTTCTGACTCAGCACTCGTGCACTTCTTCTCATGCAAAAAGCGCTTGGCTCCCTGAGGAAGCTGCCCTCGCAGATGGCAATGTCATCCGGCGCGCTGTTGGTGTGCAGCTTCTGATGCCATTGCTCAATGAACTTGCACTCGATGCCTGCGACAAGCTTTTTCGTGTCACCGGATGGACGGCTGGCACGAGGTGCCTCGTTGACATATGGGTCTGTCTTTTGAGGGGGTGTCCCTTTTTTGCTGGGTTTGGAGGGAAACCAAAGGGAAAGCTAGGCGTGTCTTCCATGAAGGGTCTGCGCACTTCCATGTTTGTTGGAGGGTAAATGGAACAAGTTTAACTTGCCGGTTCTCCGCAGGGAAAGAGAATGACCACTAATTAATGTCAACCCATCCCCCAAGTTGGTGTCCTTCAATCCCCAAAATGGTTCATTCCACGTCTCATGCCGGAGGCCTATCGCACCAAATCGTCCACGCGCCTGGTCGGTGGCCTTCCTTGATCCCATGGTTGCGCATGATGTTCAGGATCCCTCGACATCCGAACTCCGAACTCCGCGGGATCCGGATCCCGGGGTTCCGCATGCCGGGGAAAAAACTGGGCGGCTCCTTTGGACATCATTCACTCAGACGTGCTCTCACAATGGACTCCTCTTGGCGTCCAATTGAATCAAGGGCAAAGAGCCACCCATGCAGTTCCTGCAATGGAGATGGAAGCAAGGAAGTGAGTCCGCTGGGCTTTACGGTTGAAACTTAAGTTATCCTTAGTTCCTGGCCAAATCATAGATGGTCTACATACTAGATAACGGCATGCACGCAAAGCTTCGATAAAGACACACTTGTCCCAGACTGTCTTAATTTCAAAGCTGACAGTAGGTGGTGTCCTTTTTCCCCAAACAGTTTTAGCTGTGGGGGCTCTTGCTCTCAAAGAGCGGGGCTGCTGTGCGGGGTCAGCGCTAGCGGCTAGTCTAATTTGTGTAAACTGCTTTGTTCCAAGTCATCATTTTCCATTCCAATATCAACACAAAGTGTCCACAAACATTCAAAAGCTCTTCCTGTATCGAACAGTACAAACACAAGTCAGAAGGAACAGTACTACATTCTATGTACCCTCCCACCAGCCAACATGGAAGTGCACAGCCTGTTGAAGGACGACTTTCCTCTTGCAAAGGTATCCTTTTTGCACTTCCATGTTACTTGGGAGGGTATATGTGTCTCCAATGGGTCGTCAAAATGTGTATGAAAAACCCGGGGTGTCCAAATACAGACACCCATGAATTAATATTCAAGGCGGTTCCGTTTAGCGACGAGACCCCGTTTTAACGAGCGGCCGTGGCGGATGGCGTCGCCGCCGCCGGAGCTGCCCCGCGGCACCTGAAATCCGTCGCCTTTTGTGTGCGTTTCGTTTTCGGCTCGTGGCTCGGGGCTCGGCTCCGGTGGATGGTTTTTTCCTCCAGGTGTCTTCCTCCTGATCCCTTTTCAACTCCCTCCAGATGTTTGGGTTCCAGTTTTCGTTCCTTGAGAAGTTGGGAACCCAAACTTCATAACGGGGTCCACCGAATCTTTCCGACTCGATTGGGCCAGCCAACCGTGGCAGAACATCTCTAAGCGTCTCCCCTTCCTGCGCCTTTCGCGAGGGGTGCTGGGGTCTGGGGGCCAGACTGCTTTCACTGCAAGCCGCAGAAGGGTCCTGGCAGGATGGGAAAACACCCCTCCCGTCAAAGAAATGGAGGCTCACTTTGGGGATCCAAGCTTGTATTTCCACGTTTGGGAGATCCCGCGTGGCAGCTGAAACTGTTGACAGATCAATGAACCGGTTCCGTTCATAGGGGCCCCTCCAAAAGTGAAGAATTCTAATAAAAGAACACACACACACAACCTATTAATCAACCAGGTGGGTTATTCATCCGCAGGTTCAAACCAACATTTCAACATTATCCAATTTGGCTTTCCCTCCGAACCGCCGAATGAAGTCTGCTTGACGAGCGGAACTTGAGATGTTTCGCGTGGGGTTTGACCCGTTTTTTGGGAGGACAGTGCCCAACAACCTGTCCTAACACGGGGCTCCACCGCGTTGGCCACTGCAGAACTGATGACTCCACCAATTCGTTCTTGTGCATGGGCCATGTCCTGCCGTGGCAATTGTTTGTCCCAAGATGGTCTCGCAACAAGGAATCACACCTGAATGGAATCGAAGCGACTCTCAAATTCCAGTGGTCTTAAAAGGGCTCCCTCAATAAATGGTTTTGATGACACCAACAAAACACTTGAATTTCAATTCTGATTCAGACCTTTTCGTTTTGATTTTTCTGACCAAACCAGAAATGGTTTTAAAGGTCAAAACGGGGGAGGCGTGGAAAGTCGAAGGGGTCCACGAAATAGGATATCCATTGAAAATGCTTGAGGCCTGCAATGGCTCCATTGCCTCCAGGTGAGCTGTGAGGTACCTACACACACAAACAACGGGAAACGCATGCAACGCTCAAAGCTCCAAGAAATGAGCAGGCAACAAACAAGAGCAAAACATAACAAGCCCCACGCTCCAAAAGCTGCACAAGCACTAAGCAATGGGGCAGTGTGGCAGCCCAGGGGGCATGTGGTGTGTTTTTGTTGGTGTGTGTGTGTTATGCCAGTGGTCTTGGAGATTTTGGGCTTCGGATGTGTTGGCTTTGTTTGTGTGTGCCATGTGTGTTGTCACAAAGCCAAACAAATCACAGTGTTGTCTATAGAAGATAAAACGCTGGTATACACAGCGCATTATTTCTCTGAGTTTAGGCATCGAAAGCGGCGTCAATTTCGAGCTTCGATCTTCATTATCGCTGGACAAAGACATGTTAGTTAGTGTTTGTTGATGTATCAACACGCGGTACACACCAATAAACCTGTTAAAGAGTGGGCCCTGGGGAGCAAGGCGATCACATTGATATATATATATATATACATATGTATATATATATATATTATTCTACAAATATATGTACGAACTCACCAAACAAAACTTTCAATAGAGCTATAAAGTCAATAAAGACCAACAAACCGCCCGACCACTGAGAAAGAGAAAAAGAAGAAAGACAAAAACAAAAAAAAACAACGCTTCGACTGACACCTCTTGCTGGAAGCTTGATCCACCTCCGTGAGGCTCTTCTCAACACCATGAGGTTCCTCCACTAGGTCCAGTAGTTTGAGGTTAGAATAAGCTGGTACCGTTACTTTTTTTCGGTTTTGCCTATTTTAGAAAGGAAAAACACCTAGCTGGGGGACCTAGTCAAAATGGATGAACCCGACTGGGAAACAAAAACACACAGCAACCAACAACTGACACCTGGAGTTTCCTCCAGTTCCCTATGTCTCCTTGGGTTGGTAGCCGGACTTCCGGTACCACTCCAGCGCTTTGGCGTCCGCCAAGCACAGCACCGTGGTGACCCAGGCCGCGCTCTCGAAGTCCACCCCCGCGGCCCTCGGGGACGCGGAAGCCGCGGCTCGGTGCGCAGCTCGCTCGGTGGACGGGCGGCGTTTTGCGGGCGGCTTCGCTTTTTTTGGGAATGTCGTTGTTGATGGCTTTTCTTAGTGGTTGATTGAGCGCCATCTTAGGAATATCCCCCCCCCAAAAAAAAAACAAGTAAAGTGCTCGTCTTTTTGCTTTTGGATTTGTAGGGGCTTCGCCAAAAAAGACACTTTTTGGTAGGGAAGCCCCCAAACAGGCTTCGGTTTTCCCTGGCCATTGGGGCTGGTTTGCTGTTGGGTCACTGGATTTACTGATAGCAAGTGCTTGCCACCCGATATAAAAACCAAAAGGAAAATGACACCCAAAACCATGGGTTATTTGTTTGAAACAGGGGTCACGAAGGGACTTCCCGCCCAAACTCAATGTACTGGTGGCTTCCACTGAAAACTGCCACGTTCGGAGGTATCCGGGGAATCGGAACTCAAGTGGGTGGCGCGTCTTTGTTGGGAATCGGACCCACAAAAAAGGCGAAACGGCTTTCCTGTTGATTTCGCTTGCAAAGGGTTCCGCAAAAAAAAACACCCCCAAGGGGCAACCAAAAGGAAGCCACCCGCATCCAGGTTGAGCTGGCGTTTCCACCCAAGAACCATGCGGATAGGTAAAACTTGCGGTCGGCTCGATAGGCGGGGAATGAGGGAACAAAAAGGTCCCACCACTTTGGAGGCGGTTCCTTAAGTCTTTGAAGAAAAAATAGCCACATGATAGACCATTCCCCCCCCCCCCCCCAGTTTTCGACTTTGACAACCACCAACGTTTCAAAGTCAAAATGGCAAAGCGGTTCGAAATGCAATAGGGAAGTCCCCAGAAACAACAGTTGGAACTGTTTGAGCCCCCTTCAAATGGGCAGTCTTCCAAGGATTCCCTGAGAATTTTTCGAGAAAGCCCGAATCCAAGTTGCTGCTGACCTTTTTGGTAGAAGGCAGACAAGGCCTTTTTGCAGGCCCGGCAACTTTTTTCGACCCCCAAATGGATAAATGGATTTGCTGAGTCAAGCCGGGCGTCTGGGCTTTCCCCCGGCCCCCCCCCCACGGGCCCTTTTGGGACCCTGGGCCGCCCTGGGCCGCCGGGCAAGGCGTCGCTGCAGATGCAGAGACGCTGGAACTGGGTGAAGTGCTGGTACCGCGTCTCCGCCTGGCCTTGGAAATCCCCGTGCCTCTGAAAAAACCCGCAGCTCGATTTTTGCTTCTTTTCGGCTGTTCGCCGAAAGCACACGTGCCACAGGACCCAAAGCTCCCGCTTGAAAGGGAGAAATAGCAACCACAGGTGAGAAAACGAGGCATTGCCTTTGACCAGGCACAAGGTCATGGGTCTATGAAGAGTACTGTACCTTCCTCATTCGAAGGAAAAATAGGCGAGCGTACGAGAGGGCCGCATGCTGTTTCGTTCGGAGCCCTAAGGTTGTCGAAAGCAATGAACCGGAAATAACCAGGTCTTTGACAATCGAGCACAAGTGGCTAAAACCTATGGCTCAACTCCCTCAAATAAGACCCTTCATAGAACCTTGCTAAGGGTTCCAAAATGGACGCCAAAACGGGCGAAGGGAGGGGAAACTCCAGGGTCGCCCGTGCGCCAAGGCTCAAAACTTGTCGCCCCCGCTCACCTCGCCGCCGCTGGCTGTGGGCTGCGGGCATTCATCCGGCGATGCCATCACCTGGAGATTTGCCGCTGGAGGTGTTCTTCTCGTTGGAAATGTCCGACATGTGGGCGAAGCCGGGAAAAATAAGACACATGGCTACTCAGGTTGGCAAAAAAACAACACCCAGCCAAAGGCATGTCGGTCCAATTTTGGGACACCAGCCTCTGTGGATCCGGGCCGCCGCTAAAATGAAGGACAATCAACATCTTGCGACATGGGACATTGGGAAAGAGAACCACAAGAACCAGCGTTTTGCTCTCTCTTTTTTCCTTTTTTTTCTTCTTTCCATCGAGCAGCTCTGCCGCCGCTGTGTGTTTTCTTGAGATTCGCATAGCCTTGTCTCAGACTCGGCAGTTGCATGTTGGCGGGTTTAATTACCGGTGTGTCTGTTTCGTGCGTTGGACCCGCGAAATGGTGGCTGTCCCTTTGGTTTCCCCCCCCCCCCAAAAAAAAAAACAAAGAAAGGGGGGGTTCTCCAAAAACCATAGAATTAGACAGACCCCCATATGAGTCTGTCTAGGGAACCGCTTTCGCATGTCAGGAAAGCACTGGAGAGGTCATGGAGACATTGTACAAGGCGTAGCTGGCCGCCACCATTTTTGGGAATCTGCCCCTCACCGTCTTCCAAAGAATCCGTATTGCCAAAAGAAACCGCAGAATCAGAGAGGAGAGCTGAGGCGAGGCATGAGCGGCGAAGCAGCCAGATCCTTGACAGAACCCTCGGAAGCCGGCCTGACGGCTTCAAGTGTCTCTACATAACCCACCTAGCTCCTCCAGATTTGAGCTAGAATCAGTTGGTACCCGACTTTTTTTTTCGGCTTTGTCTATTTTAGTAGGGGAACCCTCCTTTACGAGGGCATGGGGTAAAGCCACGCACCGAGTTCCCTCAAGCTACATTCCATTGTGCCCGGGCGCCGGCAACCAAAAGTTGTCGCCGCCCTCGCGCTTCAGCCACATCTCTCCGGAGCCGATCTTGATGTACCTTGCCCATGGCCATGGTCAACACTGTGTCTATCCCTACAAGGTATAAAGGGGTCCGTGATCATCTGGAACATGGGCCGACCTGCTTCTGCGACCCGGGAATAAAGGGTGATCTCCTTTCGGGTTGACCAAAAAGACAGCGACATGGTCTCTGATGCACTTTGGTTGCATCTCAGAACATAGGTTCTCGGCAAAACAAAGAAAACGCAGGGTTTCACCTGGGAGTTAGACTCAAATCAAGCTTTTGGACCGGAAAGCACAGACATTCGAGGTTTCATTTACAAGTGCAAATGGGGTCCTGGCACCTACAGCACTACGACGCAAAGGAAACCAAAGGGAGCACACTTCGCGGCCTAGAGGTTATTGTGCAGATCATACCTGCACTTCTCTGGAAAATGTTAGCTCAAGATGTTATGTCGATGTGCGTGCCCTACCCAAACGGGGTTCCTTCGTGATAGACATTCGGTGAGCGAGGGAATCGAGCAATGGCTCGGTGGTAAAGCGCCATGTCCCATGGAAGCAGATGGTCCTGTTAAGTACATGGCGCCATAGGAGCAATCTAAACCAGTGCCATCCATGTCCAATCTGAACTAAGCCGGACTTTGGGGTCTTCGAATTCTCCGTTTGCCGCGTCGACTCGGCGCGTCGAATTGTTCGAGTCCGAGGTGCACCACGAAGGAGAGCCAGCGCGGCGCCTGTGCGTGCCGGAAGCTCATTGCCAGGCGCGCCTGCTCGGATCGAATTGGGAGCCTTTTGAAGCTGAAGGGCGCAACCGGTGTGGTCAATTCGGTGCCAAGTGAGACACCCTATGCCTTCAAAGCCCGGGAGAAAAACTCCTGACAAACAGGACAAGACATCCGTTTCATTGACTTGTGGGTAGCTACCAGGCTCGCGTGGTGCCGTTTCTGCCGGCGATGCATGATGAAATGTCGAGATGCGCAAACCAGAATCTTCTGAATATGGGAGTGTCATTTTTTGGAGTGGCACCTTTCTTGTGGTGTTGAAACGGAAACGGAAACCCGACCCATTTTTAGGGTCTCTTAAAAAAGACGCGTCCATAGGAATGTGGCAGAGTGCGGCCACCGGGTAGGTATGTCCAACAGCCAAAGGTTTCTGCAGAAAGGAATGCCGGACTGGCTCTCCCGTTCTAGCGAACTGCTGAGCCGGGTCGGACATCTGGGAGCATCGCCCAAACTTTACACAGGTCCTCCATATTCAGCCATCAAACATCACCCAAAAGGAATCTCACTCTGGGGTGATGTCTGAAACCAAAAAGGACCTCTGGGGAACCTTGAAGTAAACACGCCCTTGGTGAAAAGGAGACAAGGACATCAACCATTCGGTAGCTCCGTTTTCGGGCCCCGGCCTGGCCCACAAATGGGGTCCGCGCAGCGATGTCGTCGAAGGCTTTGCTGTTCGGGGGCAACGCGCCTCTCCAGGAGCTCCACATTCCAGGGGTGCCAAGGTACATACCCCTTTAACACACCCCTTGGGCAAATGAACCCAAAAGGCCTGCTGATGTTAAAAGGGGGAAAAAACCTGACAAAGTGGGTTGGAAACCAGGGAAGCAAAGGGTATGAACCAGGGGTATGTACTTCCACCCTTAGACACATGCACTGAGAAAACTCTGTTTGTTTGGCCTATGGTCTTCAGTCTCGGAGTCTAGTCGAGCGCCGTGCACTTTGCCACAATGAGACTACGTAAAGCTGAAAGAAGATCGAAGCATTGGTCATGGCTCCAGGAATCATTGAGGATCCTTACCGGGTGGAAATGACCACCCCTCTTAATCCCAAGTAGAGGAGCCGATGTTTTTTTGATCACACATCAAAACTCTAATGCCCACGATGCATCTTGGTCTCAATTCCCGAGACCATGGCTTGAGTAGAAGTTACAGGGTGTCGGCACATATGGCTGTGGCTCAAAAAACCAGAATTCCAAAATGGAACCCTGGAAAGTGGAAACATGGACCAAAACCTGCGGTTGAGCCACACCCATATAGGAGTGCCTTAACACAGACAACCCAAAACGGGGCTGAGTCCCTTCAAAACAGCCCGCTTGAGGTGGCTTCAAAAAAGACACACCGATACACATGAAGCCTCGTTTTTCAAGGGGGTTGTTTCGGCCAGTATGCCACAGTTGCCTCTTACACTGGGCCGTCGCAGAATCCCGGCCCACTCAGAAGCAAACTCTCTGTCTTGGTCAGTCAACGCTGCCCCAAAAGCACCAGAGAGGGCCAAGGTCGCCGAAAAAAGCATGGCTGGGTTCCATGACCCAAGAAACTATAGACCCCACCCCCTTTGAGTTGAACAACAAACTTTCAATTATCCCTTGCCCAAAACATCTTCAGGTGCCCATGTGGCCATTTCTCCGGTCGCCCCGGCCAAAAAGGACTCGAACACGAGAAGCAATCACAAAAAAAATGTCTCCAAAAAGAAAAACAAAACAAAAAAAAGCAACGGAGAAAAACAAAACAGAATAACAAACACAAACAAAAAACAACAAAACGGAGAACGAACAAAAAAAGGGAGCCGCAACTGGGCTGCGATCGATCGCGAGTGGATGCGAGACACTTGGTCACTCCACTCGACCGCGCGGAGCGAGCGCGGAGCGAGCGCGCCTACGGGCTGCCACTCCGCGCCGGCGGCCTTGGCGGCGCCCCAGTGCAGCTGCACCGAGGCGTCCTCCGTGAGCTCCAGGAAGGCCTGCCGACGAGTCGAGCCGCGGCTCGTCTCCGAAACCGTCGCCGGGACGCCGCATCGGCCGGATCGGGCGCGTCCCGCATGGGAGTCGGTTTTTTTGTTGGGGGCCGGTTTGTTTTTTGGTCCGAAACGGAGTGGGTTTTGTGTATTTGGTCGGTTTTTGTTGGTTTGGCGGCAAAAGCGGGGGACGAGACATGGACTGGTTGGTTCGGTGCCGCCTTCTTTTTCTGCTTGGTGCGAGGGAAGGAACCGGTTTCTGGGAGTCCCGAGGAAGGGAAAGCATGGGATGGATGGTGGCAAAATGGGGTGATGAGAAATGGAAGGAACCATTTGGGATTTCATCAAAGCAACCATAGGGGATGTGCTTTTGGTGCGGAATCGGTGGGGCAACGAGAAACGGACGGAGGGAATGAACCGTGAACAAAAATCGAGCACCGGCCTGAACTCGAAAGCGGTCGATCTAAGCAGCCCTTCGTCTCTTGGCCCCAGGAAAAGGGTTGAGTCTACACTGGCTGCACACTTTTTGGAGAACAGAAACAGAAGAGCGGTTCGCAATGCTTCCCTTTTAAGGCTGACGTTCCAGAGCTTTGTCGTGATCTGCTTCCCATTCTTGACCCAGGGTGTTCGGAATGAATCCAGGGATTCCCGAATAAAGGAAACCCTAGGGGATGGTTTATAAGGGTCATTCCATTTCTCCTTCCCTGAGAACCAGCAAGTTGTTTTGAGGCTTGATACTGGGATGTTTGGTTCGCCAAGTTTGCAAGAGGTGATCGCGACTTGGGGTTGTCCACCCCCTAACAAGTTGTTGACCGCACTGAACGGGGGACTCAAAAGTGGGTTATAATACCCTTTGAAACCAAAAAGGCTTGCCAAAAACCCAAACGTCGCAGTCTGTGTCTGGTTTGAAGGGAAGCAAACAGGGAAGCAAACAGGAACGCGTTGCAACATTTTGTTTGGGGTTCCATATCCTATTTTGAGAATCAAGATGTGAAGGGCTGAGTTAGGACCATGTCTCATCCAACTTAATGAAGCGGGGTGATTTGGAATCCCGCGCAGTGGCTGGTTTATTTTTTTGGTAAGCGGGCAAAACACCCACCAAAGCCAGTGCTTGCTCCCGGTCAACATTTGCCCATGGCTTCTCACCACTGTACCCCGATCGCCCCTTCAAGGTGTCAGCTGCAAAGGCGGATTTGGCCAAACCTGACCCGCGGGAGGCAGTCTCTAGCCCCTGCGTTTCGGGGTGACCTCATTGGAAAACAAGATAAATCAAAAAGGAAGGCTGCTAAAAGGAGCAGGTTTTGCGAGGTTTGCCAACGGGTGAAACTTGGCAGTTTGGGCACCTTGGCAACGCAAGTGACTTTCTCTTGCTTCCGCCAAAAGGGTCCCGAACCGTGTGTGTGTGTGTGACTTTGGGAGCTCGCAGACCTGACCGGCCCGGCTAGTCGGGTCTGCTTCCCGGCTGTCAAAAACAATTAACCAGGGAAACCCATGGATTTTCTCAAAATCGGACCCCTATGATTCGAACGAAAAGCCCCAGCTTCACGGGCATTCGGATCTTTCCATCTTTGGGCAGTCTTCCAAACCCCTGTCAGCTTTCATGATTGTTGGAGGGCAAGTACACTCTCAAATGGTCCAAGGGTAGGACTACAGGAAGCTAACCACTCTAATCCAGTGGAACCCATCTATTTCTAGTCAACCCACCCGTCCAAAAGGACAGCTGGTCCTTGGGCAAAACAAAGCTCTCAGCGCGCCTCGATAAAAACAGAGACCTGGTCCTTGCTGGAGGTTGTTGTCCACTTCAGGGAGCCCATACCCTGCTCCGCCTGCATCTCCCCAGCCTGGCCAATCTCAGCGTCACGTGGGTGAGAAGAAAAGAAAAAAAAGGCTTCGGCGTTCCCTTTTGTTTCCCTGTAAAACCAACCCAAAAACAGTGGGGTTCCCTTTGGTTTCCCGTTCAAACCATTCCAAAAATGGTGTTCCCCAAAAAATTGAGAGACCCACCCACATGGAACCCACACCCTATGATTTCATGCAGGTGGGCATTCAGAGAATCAAGAAGACTAGACACTGATGACAAAGGGCAAGTGACAGGGAAATCACAAGGAAGTATCACTACACGTTAGACAAACTTGCACATATCTGCATTCTTTCTATGTTCTGCCACACACACACATCTTCTCACTGTGTGCAGCAAGATATGATTAGGGAGTGACGAGTAAGTGAGAGGAAGTGACAAGGAAGGGACGTGACGTGGCGAAGTGAGTCGTTCATATATTGTTTTCATGTTCCTACCGTAGATGGACGAAATCTGCTCGCACCACTTTGATGCCATGGTTAAAACCATACCGTTATTGGTATTTACAGGACAATCGAATCAGCAACCAGGGTTTCAGAACGGTGCGATATGGATTCCTCCATCCTCTATATCTCCCTGTGAAGGCTTTCGTGCCCAGGAAGCCATGGGGAAAGTGTTGGGCCCCATGCCCCTCGGGTGAAAATACCCGTCTCATCGCATCTCGTAGAGGATGTCCGCTACCCAAAACAATAGGGAAGACTGGTGTGAAGCGATGTGGTACAACCATTCGGTTGGTTAAAAACCCTCAATGAAAGCAAGCAAGTACAAACACAAAATAACACAATGGATAAATACAAACGAAAGTAAATGAGTGAGTGAGTGAGTGAGTGAGTGAGTGAGTGAGTGAGTGAGTGAGTGAGTGAGTGAGTGAGTGAGTGAGTGAGTGGGTGGGTGAGTGAGTGAGTGGGTGAGCGAGTGAGAGTGGCTGGGAGTGCGTGGGACTGAGAGTGACTGAGAGTGAGTGAGAGTGAGTGCGAGTGTGTGTGAGTGAGTGAGTGAGTGAGTGAGTGAGTGAGTGAGTGAGTGAGTGAGTGAGTGAGTGAGTGAGTGAGTGAGTGAGTGAGTGAGTGAGTGAGTGAGAGAGTGAGTGAGTGAGTGAGTGAGTGAGTGAGTGACTCAGTGAGTGAGTGAGTGAGTGAGTGAGTGAGTGAATGAATGCATGCACGAATGAACGCATGCACGCACAGAAGAAGAAAGAGATTGCAAGAAAATGTAAAATGGAAATGGAGTGAATGGCATGAATGGACTGAATGGAATGAAAGGAATGGATGGATGGATGGATGAAAAAATGGATGGATGGATGAATGAACGAATCGGTGGATGGATGAGTGAATGAGTGAATGAGTGAATGAGTGAATGAGTGAATGAGCGAATGAGTGAATGAAGGAATGACGGAACGAACAAACGAACGAACAAACGAACGAACGCGTGGATGGATGGACGGACGGATGGATGGATGGATGGATGGATGGATGGCCCCTCACGCTTCGTTCGCCACGGCCTTCACGAAGATGTCGCTGCCGTTTGCCACAGGCGATGCATCCGATGTCTTGCGCCGACGCTGCGTCGGAGAAGCCGCGATGCCATCGGGAGAGGAACTCGCCTGAGGCATGCACGTGCGTATGTATGCCCCTATCTGTATATGCGAATATGTGTATATGCTTTTACGTGCATATGTGTACATGTGTAGATGTGTACACGTGTACATGACTAAATGCACACACATGTATATCTTAGACAATCCAACGTCGTGCGTTGGACACCTTTTGCGCAAGCGGCATCTACGATGCCAAACGCAGCCAGGCCTACAAAATCGCGGCTGTTCTCGCCAAATCGCGGCCAAATTCTCGCCAAATTGCGGCTGAACTGCTGCCAAAGTGTATCATTCGCAGCAGGGGGCATCAGACGGCGTCGTTTGTAGAAACGATGTCCAACGGACATCATTGGATGCTCTAATTTGTATGTGTATGCGTAGATGTGCAGATGTGCATGTGTGTATGTGTATGTGTTTACATAGGCGCATGTGCAAATGTGTGTTTGTTTGTGTGTGTGTGCATATGTGTACATGCGGATATATGAACAGGTATACATGTCTATATGCGCACTCGTGTATGCGTGTATATGTGTATGTGTAGATGTGCAAATGTGCATGTGTGTGTATGCTTTACTTCTATACGCGTGCATGTGTGTATGTGGGTAAGTTTGTGTGTCATATGTGTACATGTGTGTATATATGTTTACACGTATCCTTGTCTGTATGCTATATGTGCACCCGTGTATATGTGTATATGAGTATGTATGCGCGCAGGCCGGCCCAAACATTTGGACCCAAAAACATCTCCGGCATTCCTGGCGACGGGCTCCTCGCGCCACGTTGCCCAAGCTTCAAAAAACACTGTAAATACCGTGCAAATCGCCCCCGACCCCGCCAACATCCTCTGCATCCTCGCCAACTTCACCTGCATCCCCGACATTTCTGAATCACCGGCATCGGTGCACCTTGACTGTCCGAAACACAGCCTTGACCAGCAAAGGTGGATGCCTGGCTGCCTGCTGGCAATTCCACCGATCAGGTGTACACTCCTGTGCCATGGACCATTCCCTGTCTTATTGCTGTTTTCAAGAGCTCAGCAGAACGCATGTTCATCATTGCTCCTGTTTGCCCATCCCTTTTTGTGTCCGCTTTTCATACTCTGGGCTAATCTGATATCCCGCTCACCAATTCGGCCAGCGCGTCTTGTTGCAATTGGGTTCCAAGCCCTGTTTTCCTCTAGCAGCTGCTTTAGCGTTGTTTGCATCGCTGCCATCTCTTGGGTGCTCATCTTCACGAAGAAGATGAGGACGAGGTTGTTGAATCGTAGTTCAACGGGACCTTGCCTTGCTTTGCTGCCAGCTTGGCCTTTGGCCCTGTGCTGGGCTTCAATGCTGCAACCGGCTCTGCCTTTGGCTTTGGACGCTTGCTCAGACTCCTCGCTCTGCTCCTCCTCTGCCTTCTTCTTGTCCTTGGGCTTCTTCCTCCTTGAGCAGCTTCTTGGGCCTGGGTGCACTGCCGTGGCCCACTTCTGGGCTCTTCGGGCGCTGAGGCTGAGGCTTCGGGGTGAGAACCGGAAAAGGATATCTGTAGCTTCCTCGAATTCTCAAAGTTCCTCCCGCAACTCAGGCGTGATCGGCGGCAGCTGCACATCCTTCAGCAATCTCGAACCCTTCTTACCCTTTCCTTCGGCACTGCCTGCCTCCTGCTCCCCGCCGGGTGGGTCCAGGTCGCTTCTGGCACCTCTGCTCCTTGTCTACGACCTCGGTCGGCTCGGCCGGCTCTGGCGGCTCCGGCTCCCGAGGCTCGGCCTCCCGGGGCCTTCCGGCGGCTTCCGCCGCGTACCGAATAGATCTCCTTCCTGGATCGGCTTGGCTCCCAAGAAAATCGTCCTACTCAACCAGGTCGCTTCGGAGCGGCCTCTTGAGCCAAAACATATATATATATATATACTGTACAACTGAACACGACTGTTGGCGTATTGGGCTACATATTTCAACACCGAGGCAATCTGGGAGAACTTCGCCAAAACCTGAAGCCAGAGATCTCCGCCGTTGGACCTTCCGTGCTCCACAAGAGGGCAAGTAAAACCGAAGACTGCGTTGGCTGCCATTGTCTTTGCTTATCAATAGACATGGACACTCTGCACCTGGCCGCGTAATCGCTTGCAATGAGTCGGGGCACGGTCTGTGCACACCAGGGACTGGCCCGGTGAAGTCTCAGCGAATCAAATACACCCCTTCCGCCTAATGAGATGTCGCATGATGTTGCAGACACCAGTGTGCCTGCAGGTGCAACTTGTGCATCTGACTTCCTCCAAGCCACTGCCACCGCGGCCTTGGCGGCCTCCAACTCGGGCCATTTGGCGACTCCTTGGCAACGAAGCAAGCATGGGAAGCGTTGCATCGAGAGCATCTCCGCAAGGCCCAGGCTTGCAAGAAAACTAAAACCCTCAAGCAACCGATCCCGCGCAATTCGTTTGAGCGGCACAGTTTATGCCCCACGTGGACTTCGCAACCCCCGAGAAACACTTCCAGAGACCTGATTCCCAAGCCCAAATCCCGACTAAATAGGAGCCCCCCTCATCCAGCGGCCATGGAAACTCATGCAGCACCCTTCTCTTTTTTGCACGACCTTTTGACCAACTGGGAGTTCCTATCTTTGGCGAGTTCCGAGCACTTCACCCCCGAAAGATTAGCCTCTGGCACCGTTTCTGCACAAGGGCCCCCACAACAAATGGGATCACCATGTCAAGGTTCGCTTGATCCGAATGAAGATGTGTCGGTTTTTGGCACAAACACATGCTGCTTTTTTGGTGGTTGGGCACTTTGTCATGCTTCAAAGCTGCAAACGCTCTTCGAGACAAGCCACTCTTAGATGCGTCGCTTTGGTTTTGAATCAACTCACTGCCAGCACATCTCGGCAACTGGTCAAACTCTTCAGGGATCGGTGTGCAAATGGGTGGGGCGGGTACCCCACGTTTTTTAGTTTTTTGTCTGGAACCAGAAGGGACACCAATGCCATTTTGGGGGTCCACCGCAGACCGTCTGGCCCGTTTTCTTGTCGGGAGAAAGAACTGCTCGAAGTGGGTAAGCTGTAGGAACCTTGGAGTTGGGTTTCCCCTGGTCCGGGGGCTCGGGTTAGGAAACCTTGAAGATCCAACCTGCACCAACCGAGGTTCATCAAGAGTCCTCACGCCCCGCTTCGCCCTCTCTCATGGATACCACCTTTGGTTTCCAAGCCCAGTCATCCCCTTTACCCAAGAAAATGTGCGCCAACCACTTTTGCCCAGTACCCGAAACGGTTCATTCCAAAACCAGCCTGGAAGCCATTCCAAAACCAGCGTGGAAGCCAGGTTCCCCCAGAAACCTGAAAAGGGTTTGGTGAGTAAATATATTCCGTGCAATCTTTTTGCGGGCCTTGTTTCAACGGACAATTCCGGGAACCCGGTTTGAGGGGGGCCTGGGCTTCGAGGCAAGCCAAGGGGTGTCTTTTTGTTGAAGGTATCCTCATTCCCCCGATTTCTCCCCCCCCCCCCCGTTGTTCCTTCTTGGGCGTTCCTTTCGGCCACTGAGGTACCGAGCCGAACCGGGGAACGCCTCACGCCTCTCTGGCCGAGGGGCGCTCCGCCACGCGGGTGTCGCCGCCCAAAGCCCCGCCCCCCACCTCCGCCGCCAGCTGCGCCACTTCGATCACGAAGTTCTCCCCACCCGGGCCTTTCCTAAGCCGATTTGTCAGAGCCAGGTGGTTGTGGGTCAAACAATGGGGAACCCCAAAATGGAGGCCTTGTAGCTGATTCATCAGATTGAAAAATCCGTTCAGCATCGAATCCCCGCAACCCGAATTGGGCGGATCCCCTTCGAGCCATGCGAAAAAGCCCACAAGGAACCTTTCAAGATAACTTTTGACACAACATTAAGAAACCCATTGAGCAAAAACCAGCCATGAGAAGACCTTCAAATGCAACCTGTCTTTACAAACCCATGTCCGAAGGGTTGCGGGTCCCGATTCGGTGGAATGGATCCCGATCTGGGTATGGGTCCAAACTACCAGACCGCAGGCCTCAATTTTGGGGTTGCTCGTTGTTTGACCCACGGCCATCTGACGGGCCCAATTGGGTGAGATCGGATTATGAGTTTCCTTATGGATCCACGAAAGCCGTTGCACGTCCTCTCCCCTGCACCGAGCGATCTCACCACATCTTGTCAGTTTCCAAGGGGTGGGAACTTACAACAAGGGCCCCGGGTGATGTGCTCATGGCTGCTAATCACTTAACAAAACGCCCCCTTAGGACTTCTGTGCGCATGTCCGCGTGAGCAGGCGGTACTCGGTGTCTTCGACTGACATTGAAATTTGGTGCACCGCTCTGGGGTGAAATGATCCACTCGAACCAGACACAAAGAGACCTTCACGGGTGAGCTTGGTTCATGCCCGTAGGATGCTGCCCGCAATCTCACGGTAAGGGCTTAAGGGTCTTGCCTTGGGGAATTTCAGGGGAGGGAGCGGGGCCGGGGGGGGGAGAGTCACGGTAGGTGCTAACATGACCGCCAAGTTGCAGCAGACGCCCGAGAATGTTCCTTCTGGACTTCTGGGCGACAGGCTTGCTTCACGGCAGGGTGAGAAGGTGGAGGCTTCGTGGGTGAGTTAAGTTACTTTCGGCATGTTGCGGACTTGGGTTCCTGATGCTGTTCAGCGAGTAGCTTATAGCCATGGTTACGAACTCCCACAGTTTCTTCAACATGCATCATTTGGATCCTGAGAGCTGACGACTGTGCGAGGTGAAACTGGGGAGTCCTGATACGCTTGATCCCCGGGACTGTTCCTGGTGCAGGTCGTCGATCTCTGGGAGTTTATGACAGCCTACGGGCCTCTCAGACTCCTCATCCCCGAGCCAAGTGTCAGCCAATGGGTCTGGCCCTGCACTTCGATGACCACCACAAGGGTGATCTTCTCTGGTACCTGCAGGTACACGAATGTGGTTAGGAACCAAAAGCACACCACCCATTTTGGCATACCCCACCTTTTGGACATAACCACGCGTGTTCATAGACGCCGCAATAAGCCTCCTGCATAGTATTCTGAGGAGTTGCGCCCTTGCGTGCGCATGTCTCTCTCCCAAGAAATCCGCCTCAACTAACAGGGCCAAACCATGTATATTCAACATGACGATCGTCAGCTTGAGGCCGCACACAAAAAGATGCGGCCAAGACCCCAGAATTACCAGCAGAAAAAGGGTCAAACACAGGGCATGAAGGACCGCAGAGCTCACTGAGTATCACTACCCGTATCACAAGCATCACCAGCCGCATCATGTCAACATCCTGAGCAACATCCTGAGCAACATCCTGAGCAACATCCTGAGCTCGCCAGCATCGTCACCAGCACCCAGCATTGTGGTGTTTACTTATTATGTTTTTATTTTATTATCATCATTTTTTGGGGGGAGGGGGCACTGTCTACAATATGAAAAAAGTGGCGACTCTTCCCCCGTCAACCCGCAAACTCTTTGAATGCATCAACGAGAGCTGGAGTTGCTCTCGCGAGTGGTTTTGCTTGCCTTCCCTTCAAAGTCTCCAAAAAAGGGGTGCACGAGCCACACCCATTTTTGCCAACTCCCGCCAATGACAGGTCGCCCCGGCCTCTCCCCCACGGAAGGTCATGGTCACATTGCCATCACCGTTGAGGTGGGCACTGGACGCCACTCCGTCGCAGTCCTGAGCAAAAACTACCGGGATCGGCCCAAAGTAGTTTACCCTGTCGATGTTGCCGGGGAACCTGATGGTTCGGGCTGGGGTCATTATTTTGACTGTTTCTGGGGGTTATCAAAGTTAGAAAATGTGATTGTTTCCCTTAAACCCACCACTTAGGGGGTGACTTTCATCATGGTAAAATAATGAGGCCAGTCGGGGTGCTGAAGACTACGTTCCTTGTAAAGGGAGTTTGCCTCTGGTAAAATTCGGGTTAGTGAACAAGAGGGCAACTGGTTCAAACGCCTGGTTCTAGTTTGGCTGTGAGCCACTCACAGGCCCTTCACAACTGGGATGTATGCGTAACAATCCAGCATTGGAAAACGCACTCTGACACATGTCTTTCTCCAAATGTTGGTAAATCGCACCTTGGTTTTTGCAAACTCAAGGTGCAAAAATGGAATATCTCTGGAGGCTTCGTTTCTACGGTCGCCTTGGTTTTACAGGTTTAGCCCCTATTCCACCCAATCACATGTCCGTGAGGCGGAGCATTTTAGGGATCCCTCACATGCGGAGAAATGCGAATCAATGATAGCAAGGTCGGTTGGTTGAAGAGAATTCTGCAATTTTTGCCAACTCACCCCTGCTTGGCGCTTCCAGCCAAGGATGGAAAGCTGTCCTGAGACCCATCTGGCTGCACTTTCGGCGCTTGCCAGCTGCCGTCCGGCGCCATCACTGCCCAGTGCAGACGCCCAGCGAAGCCTGGCGAATGAACGGGGACTGGATACTCAAAACGGACGAGCTTCCAAAATGGGCTTCGGTTTTGCTTGGTTTCTGTTCCAACAAGCAAGGAGGAAGCGGCCAAGTCCCAGGCAAGGCCAAGAAAGCGCTGCTCTGTTTGGATCCTTCTGCCACTGCCACATGCTCCGAAAACTCCATGTGCAACCGGCCTCCGCTGTTGATGCTCAGCATCCGCCGCACATGTCGGCACTGAAAGTTCAAGCTCAGCGGTTGTTTGCCCACGCCACCACTCGGGGTGACGCAGAGCTCGGCGCCGCCATCGATCGGGAAGTTGGGCATGGCCGAAAAGTGTGCTGACCACAAGACTGTGGCTGTGGGAATCTGCGGCAGGCATTCCAGCTCTACCCGAGGTAGCTTCTTCTAGAGACTCCTCTAAAACAATCGTCATGAATTCATAAGGCAACAGGAGCCTTCATCCCAAAAGGTGTGAGTTCAACTTGGAGTATCTGGCATGACATCTGAAAGGAAAGTTAAGTATGCCATTCAGAACAGGCAGAAGGAAGATGCCACAGGGACTCGTTATTCTACTCCGTGCTCCGTGCACGCAAATGATGCAAAACACAAAAGCCATTCAGAGATAGCGCTTAGCTTTTGCAGTTTGACTCCCCAATCGACCCTTTGATTGTGCCATGGACCCTGACCGCAAGACCCTCCAGCGCCACAAACCAAAGCCACGTCAAAGGACTCTTTTGCCGATCTGCACCTTTGGTGATTGGGCTGGGTGAAACGGTTCTCAACGGACACGCCCCGTCTCAGGTCTAAATACTGGCTCCCCTTTTTGTATGAGAGGACCGCCCTGGCACTGAAGTATGGAAAAGCCCCATTCGGAGAGAGAAAAAACATCGACGGTGAAATGCTTGCGCTCGCTCAGGTGGACCTCAGAAGGAACTCGTCAGGTCGATCGGGGGGAAGGAAGGGAACTTATTTCGATTTGCTTGAGGCGCTACAAAAAGCAGCAAGTCATAGCGTGCTTGCTAATCATGCCCATTTCCCTGAAATTCAAAGAAGAAACGGCTTGCTCTTGAGCTGACAAGTCAAACAGATCAATCTCTCGGAGTCCGAACACTTGCCCTTTCGCCACACCAGGGATTCTTTTCAGCTTGCCTCCCAAGAATGCGCGACCATGAATGGCATGCTGTGGCGAATCTGTCTGACCTGACACCCAGCTTTGTACGAACATGTTTACAAAAGTTTTTATGGGCCTTGCTATGATCTTCAGGCTGTAGACGCCTAAGGTGGTCTCGCAGTCTGGTGGATCTGCTCAGATGCCAGCATCGCAAGCTGCTCCTTGTCCTCCACTGATGCCTTACATACAATGCTGCAGGCTTACTAAAAATGGAGGCGCCCAAAATAGCATTCCAGTGTATCCTTGCCTTCCCGTCAAACACCATCTGAACGGCAATTCTGGGTATGGAGTACCGTTTTGAGAACGCAACATGGTGGACATAGATCCCTGTCTGCGTGATGTCCACACCGATCAATTGAATGCTTGGGTAACCCTCTTTTCGGTGCGCTTCCAGTGGTGCGGTTGACGTTGGGCCTTTCAATGAACGACCACTCAACCCGAGACAAAATGTCCACGCCAGGCTCCGTTCGTCACGTTTCATGGCAACATGAGTTGAAGGCGCACCTCGTCTGGGAGTTGTTTAAGAGATTAACCTGGGGAATATTGGGCTTGTCCTGCACTAGGGGACACCCATATTGGGGCTTGTCCTGCACTAGGGGACACCAACAAAGATGGCAGGTTTTGGTGGAGCTCCTCTTAGAACAAGAGAAACACTCACGTGAGCCATTGCCATGTTTTTTGTTTTTAATTGTGGGTCAAGCAATAATGTGTTTGACCGTCACACATGTGAGTCACAATTGCTCGGTATCAAAGTGTTTGACAAGAATCAACAGAGCTTCTGGCCGCACCTATTTACGGGCTGGTTTTAATATATTGGCTCAGCAGCTTTACGTGCGAGCCCCCGGACCCAGCGACGTGTTTCCCCAAAACGACCTGGAACACGTGGTAGACTACCATGCTCACAGGGCTTTCCAATCTATACACATCACCCCACCAACAGGTTGTGTCTTTTTGTGGGGAAACGTTCTTTTGCTTGGCTTTCAAGTCGGAACCAAAAAGGCAACTCCAGCCGTTTTGGGCCCTCCCCCCCCAAACCACCCACCCCCCCGCCGCATTTTGAGACACATCCAAGGGCGATGAACCGAGTCGAAGCGGATGGCCCCGGTGCCTCCATGACCTCAGCCACCTCTTCGTGGCCGCCGGCTGCGCGGAAGAGGCGGAAGGCGCGCAGAAACGACCACGAAACGGCGGGAAAGAATGCACCGAAATCCCAACGCACCACCGGCTCATAGAAACCCAACGCTTTCTTTGGTTTCTCACTTCCATTGGCAGGGTGACTCATGTTGAATGGCTGAACTCTGTTCACTGCGAAGTGGCGGGTCTTTAATTGGGTCATTGATCCCGAAGGACTGACCGCGACAATTCTGAGGGTGTTTCTCCAGCGTTCCCTATTTCCAACTTACAAACCTCACTCTAGCGGAGACTCGCTCAACATTCACGCTTGTGGTCATCAATCGTGCAACATACTGAAAGATACAAACAAATGCCATCTGTGGGTCAAAAATAGGTACCTAAAATGGCACCCTGGTAAATGGACACAATGACTAAACCCTGTGGTCCCCTGGCGGCTTAATTTTGACCCGTACCCATATGCAAAAAAAAACCGTGCCGCTCCGACTTCCCGTGTTGAGAATGCTGAAGAATAAGTTCGACTTGACCCTTGGCCTTTCGCCAGCTCGATGGGATCCTCGCTGGCATTGTTGTCCTGACTCACGACTTCACAGGTTGGGTGTGTCTCAAAAGAGGGCACCCCCCGAAAGGGGGTTGTAACCCCCCTAAAAGGGGTTGTTTCCTTTTCTGCTCCCTTTGAGCCCCCCCTTGAAAAACCAAGGGTACCCTGCGAAAAGACACTCGCCCGGGCACGCTGGCCAGAGCTCTGGCCAGGCAAAAGGCAAGGTGGGAGGTGTCCTTTTGAGGTTTCTCTTTCTTTAAAACCGAACAAAAAAATGTGGGTACCCTCAAACAGAGAGGCACCTTGAAATGGGGCTGCGGCCCATGTGGGCAAAACCTCGCTTTGCGAACCTATGCCGCTCTCCCAAACGGCTGGTCCAGCAAGGGATCGGCGCCGTACTCGATGAGCTTCTTGACCTCAGGCGGGGGAGCCGCGCTGGTTTCACCCCAGAAAGCCGCGCAAAACCCGTACGGCTTGAGAGGTCACAACGTGCACTATGTCTAGGAGTCTAGGCGGGAATGGCAGCAAGCAGTGCCATTCCCGTGATTCCTGATAGGCAAACCCTGAGCAGGCGCATGCTCCCCCTTGTTCCTGAAGCATTGACTCTGCTAAACCAACATTATTGCGCAGGAAGGCAAGAGTCCAACTTCTCTGAGAGTACAAAATACAATGTCAAATGGCTGTGGGTCAAAAAACCTGTACCCCTGGTGAACATCAAAATAGGTGGCAAATGGATGTTCATCCATCCCAAAATGGAGCCATAGGTTTTGCCCCATGGCCAAACTGGGAACTGGAGAGAAGGGGACTCAGGATGCCAGTGACCTGGGCATCTTACGCGAGCAAGGACACCAGATGTCCCCAATGGCCATTGGTCCAAAGCGGACATCCCGTCCTCGTGACCAAGAGGGATTCCCCCTAAGAAGTTGAAAGACAACGACCCAAACGTATCTGCTAAAAAACAAGTGCCCTGACAATCGACAAAAACGCGAGCCCCAAAATACGCCTTGGCTGGAAGGAACCCAACTTGTTTTTGTCATGCCAACCATTTTTCATCTTGGAACATGGAGACCGAGACTAGGCTGGAATTCGGACCCCGGCAAAAATATATATATAACTTCTTGCCTCAGTGGAAAACAAGGAGAACCCCAAAACAAAAACAAACATAATTTCAAAAAACCGAATTTTCAAGGGGAAGGTACTTCTGGGGAAGACTAAAAACGACTCCCCCGGCCCTTTGGGCCATCGCCATCCTCCGGGTTGCCCTCGTTCCGAGGCCCCGGGCCGCGTCCAGGTGCCCGCTCCGCGAGGCCCAGCTCAGCGGGGTGTCGCTGTGCCGGTCCAGGGCGTTCACCTGCCGCCCGAGCCGCGCCGAAAAAAAAACGGCCGCGAACGCGCAGAGAGGCAGACACGAAAGGGGCTAAAAGGAGTGCTGGGAACTTCCGTTGTATGTTGTGTTTGTTTTTTGTTTTTTTTGTTTGGGGGGGGGGGGCGGTATGAGTATGAGGGATTGCTAGGAACTTCTGCTAACACTCCGGTGTGATGGAGTGTGAGGAACTGATTTTGATGCCACTCTTTAGGGTGTGGGTTTCTGAGGGTTGTCTGCAAAACAGACTCCAAGTGTCCATGCGAGAAATGGACTGGTACGAACTGTGCGACAACCAGGCAGATTCAGATTGAGGGCATGTTTGTTAAATTTGCCCCCCTCCCTCGCCCCGAAGATGGACACTGAACGGGTCTATTTTGCAGCCTTCCTTTCGGGTATTGATTGGCTTTTGTTTGGTTCTCGTCTGCAATCTAAGTGTCCATGGCCCCCTCCTTCCCCCATTTTGTCAAAACTCCGCTAGGTTTCTCTTGTTCATGGTACCCTTTTTGGGTTCAAAGGCAAACCAAACGGAAGCTTCCATTTGGTCATGCGTGTTTTTTGTTGATTCCCCCTTTTTTTCCATCTTTGTGGGTTTATGTCGGAAAATCAAATGAATATTTACCATTCTAGGGGGTCGCCCTTGAGGTTTTCCCCTCAGATCACCCTGGCCATGTCGACGGGGCCTCCGCCTTGGCCTCCACCAACATCTCGATGGTGGCCGCCTCTGCCCGGGACCCCATGGCTGGAGGGCAGAAGTTGATGGTGTCAAACCGATTTGTTGCGAGTCACTTCGGAAGATATCCAGTTGAACCAAGCAATGCACAGTGCGGAATAGCTCGGAAACCGTGTTGTGGCAGTAGCTAGCGAGAGCAGCTCAGTTGAACAAAGAGGTTTGCAAAAAGACAACCCAGTCCGAACCGACCATCGCTCAATCCAAGGCAAGAGCATGACCACGCTGTGCAGCATAGTGCAGGGCGGTGGTGAGGTACTTGTTCGTCTGCGCGGAATGCACGAATGCCGATTGGGAAGCAGCTGTCCGCCTTTTTGGGTTTTGCAGTTGGGTGACTTCTGGGCAAGCACCTGCGGCTTGAGAGGAAGTCCTCAAACAGCTTATCCAGGTGGCCTGTTTTAATCCGAGCCCGTACGAACACTTTGATGCAAGGGCACAAACAGAAATCACTAGTCTTCGACACATGCCTTGGAATGGGGCAGCACGATCGAAGTCTTCAAAGTTTGCAGCGGTAGGACGAGAGTCTAGTGAGCCAATGTTTGCTCTTGCCAACTGCCCATGCCAATTTTTCGGAACTATTTCACCTGCCATTTTGTTTGCCAACTTTTGCAGAGTTGCATCATCTACCAACTTCATCCACGTTGTTTTTAGATTTCTTCACTTGCCAACTTCGCCAGATATACTTTTCCTGCCAGCTTCTTTCTCACACCAACCAATTTCCAAGAATTACTTCACCTGCCAACTTTGCCCGTCAACTTGTATAGACTTACTTGACCCTGCCAACTTTTAGAAAATTGTTTCTGCCCTGCCAACTTCTCATAAAAGGGTATGTCTGCTTTTGGGGGGACCCCTTTCTGGGTCAAAGGCAAACCAAACGGAGAATCACCAATTTGGGGTTCCTCAAAAAAAGACACCCAAATATTGACTTCCCGCACCGATGACACAAGGCAACAGCTAGGCACGCAGCGATTGCCTTGCGGGAGTGGATGATCGTTCTATTTTCGGGAGTGGTCACGGAAAACTGGGGAAGGACCCCCCCTGTTGGATGTCCAAAGCAACACAAAACCGGAAAGCTGTGTCTGTGGAGCCTTATTAAACTTGCATCCCCCGGTATGGTTCCAATGGCAGGTTCACGAACGTGATCTGAGCAACGAGCATTGTGTCACCCGCTGGGATTTTGGAGTCGCGACTCGGCTAGGAGGACTCCAACCAAACACCGTTTCCATCACGGCTGCATGTTGCCTTTTCCTCAGAACGGCTGGTCCCTCAGGGCCACATCCAAGAGCCCAGTCGTTGCCAGTGTCCAAGAAGAGGAAGCCACAGAAAGCTGCTATATTGATTTCCCCAAGCGTGAAGGTCAAGGTCAACCCACCGTTCCCAAAAGCAAAAAAAGCGTGCCGTCCCATGCGCCTGGCGCACATCAGTGGAGCGATCTCTCAGCAGCGCCTCTCAGTGTCTGAAAGCTCTAGAGGCCACCACTCAAAGCCGATTTTGGTGCAAGGGGCGGTACCCCTTGACTCAGGATTCATTCGGGGCCAGCTTCCAAGTGGTGAAGCCTCTGATGGCGCTTTGTTTGGAGGGCGCGCGCAACTGAAGCCCCACCTTCACCCGCCGAAGTCTTCCATTGCTTCGCCCACGTGTGCGGCATTCTTCAAGATGCTAAGCGATTGTTCATGTTGGGTGCAGGATGACCCAGACAACCGACCAATCAAGGGTGGTTCCCCTTGTAAGGAATAGGCTTCTCCGGATTGATCCTCTCTCTCTCTTCTTGCCCTCCCCTGTCCTCGATGATGCGTGTGCGCCCGTTGAATGCCGCAATCAT